TTATTTAGTAAAATATTGAGTATCATAAGATTTTCTATATTTTTATTAATAAAATTATTAAAAATTTTAAAATTCTTGAAATTTTATTAATTAATTCTACCTTTATGTACTAAGTAATCTGATTCTAGGCATAAATTTTTATTAGAAACATATATTAATATTTTATATTTATTACTTTTAACAAAATATATTTTATTAAATTTTACTAAATTTTACTAAATTTTATTAAATTTTACATAATTTTCTATAATTTAACTTTATTACTAATTAAATAACAAAAATTTAAGATTTAAAATACTTAGGACCTAGCCCCGAAGCTTCACAAGAGCTAAGAGCTAGAAAATTAGTAAATTTGAGATTAAAAATATTTAGAACTAACTCTAAAGCATCACCTGAGTCTGAAAGCTATAAAACTATTAATTAACTATTATATTATTAATCAAAATTAATAATTACAGAATCTAAGATTTAAAATACTTAGAACCTAGCCCCAGAGCATCGCCTGGGCCTAAGAGCTAGAAAATTAGTAAATTTGAGATTTAAAACACTTAGTATCTTGCTCCGGAGCATTACTTAGACCTAAGAGTTAAAAACTATAAATTACTTATTATATCTATTAATAAAATTAATAACTACAAAATCTAAGATTTAAAACATTTAAGAACTAGCCCCGGAGCATCGCCCGGGCCTGAGAGCTAGTAATATTATTATTATTAAAATATTCGTTCAATTATTCACGAAAAGTGTATTTATGATAAATATATCTTTGATTATCATTAAATTTAACATTAGTTTTATCATTAATAATTATTTTTATTTATTAATTCTTATTAAAAATGTTTATATGATGGAATATAAAATATCTGGGGATTTCTTTTATGTAAAATAATACTTTTCATATGAAATCACTTTGGCAAAATTAAAGTAGCTAATGTAAATTACTGTGCCTCTCGGTTTATACCCTCTCTTTATTTGTACCGGGTATGTTTCAAGGTGGTGTTTTGTAACAGACCCGGGTATTAATTTAATAATAAAAAGTTTTTCCCTAATGAACTAATATACACTCTTCATAAGATGCCTCACATAATATACCTTGCTATACAAGATACTGGGAGTATAAGAATAATTAATGTTGGACGTTGTTATGAAAATGGAATAGAAATTCAAAAAGACAAAGAAGGCATCCGAATATTATCAAAAATCAGCAGATATGAAACATGCTGATGGAATATTCAATGCTTGACGTTATTATGAAAATGGAATAGGAATTGAGAAGGATGAAAATAAAGTATTCAAATGGTACATGAAATCCACAAAAATGGGTGATGCCATTGGAATGCGTAAAGTATATTTATGTTATATATTTGGAATCGGTGTGACTAGAGATTTACAACTAGCTAATCATTGGTATCGAATATAAGTGGCATTTAAATAAATATGCTTTATATTTGACATAAGTTTGCTTATCTATATAAATAGGGGACGAACCAAATTTACGCTAAATAATTTAAATGATGATTTAAAAGAAATATTGAACGATGAAAAATATCATCGATTATGGATTCCATACAATGAATTCAAGAATATCAAAGATGCAGATTGGTCCCGTAATTTTTTCATAAAATCGAAAACTGACCTTAAATCGCTAAATAAAATAAATTATGAAGAATGAGGTAATTTCATCAATATTCTACTTTACAATTTATTATATGATTAATTAATTTAATTACATAGTTAAAAGCATAAATTAAAACTATTAAATTATATCATTCTAATCTTGAATCAATTCATTCTCAAGGATATATTCATCGAGATTTACACAGCGGAACCATTTTGCAAGATGATTTCGTAGTGCTATATTTTTGATTTGGGATTATCAAATTCTAATTCCGAACAAAAGAAAGACGGAATTTTTGGGATTCTGCCATATATTGCCCCAGAAATTCTAATTAGTCAACAATATACGATAAAATCTGATGTTTATTTGTTTGGAATAATAATGTGGGAAGTCTTATAAGTAATGCTGAATCTTATGATCATATATTTACTGAAGGGCAACTTCAATTAAAAATATGATGATTTACGACCGCCTGTTAACGAAGAAGCACCAAGATGTTATGTAAATCTGATGAATAAATGTTGGGATAAAGAATCTGACAAATGACCAACAGCCGAAGAACTCTGAAAACTTTTATAAAGTGGCAAAAGGACGGAAATGTTTTGTTGAAGTTGAATAATTCAATATTAAACCTTGAACATCGAAAAATCATATGCCAAAACATTTAGTAGCGCGAGCAAGTTTATTCCGTATAGTGGGTCAATTTTAGATATAGACAACGAATTACAAAATCTGATAATCAATGATTACTGATTTTTTCTCTTTAAGTATATCTTTATATTAAGCCATATGTTGAATTTTTTTTATATCTAGCGCTTTGCAAAAGATGTGGCTAAATGATTTTTGTGATCACGAACCAAGTGTCGCCGTTACGGTTTAAACTCAATCAAATTTATAATTCCGATGGTTCAATATGTACAATTGATTTTAGATTAACAACAATAAATTTTTAAATTATGTAAGCGATAAAACTATACTTTTTTTTTTTACTTCTTTATATTACAAAATCAAGCAGGAATTAAAAACTTTTTTGTGAAAAAAAAATTCGGTCTGAATACTTAACATGTATTAAAAAAGGTAAAAAGCGAATATATGAAAAAGTTTTACTTTATCTGATTTAAAAAAAGTGTTATTGAACTCTGTACATTTCTTAAAAGTAGGGTGGCTTTTCGCAAACATTTAATTTCACCACCATTAGGAACAACTCTTTTTTCAATATGGTAATAAGGTTCAACACAATAATAAACATCAATTTCCTCATGAATCCCAACAAACTATATACCCATCACATCTAATCCCGAAGTGAAATATTGTGATTATAAGTAAGCCGAGATAGATTTAAGTATGGACGAATTCAAGTGCCAGTGATGTTGAGGTTACAAATGATAAAGCTATTGAATTAAGAAATACCAGTGAAAGTACTATTTATTTTATTTTATTATTATACAAGTTATTTATACAGTCAACTTCGGATATAATGAATCTCTATGTACATACTTTAGATATAACTACTCAGAATTTTAATTTCATAAAAAAACATAGTAATATTCTATAACAAACTTTTTTTTTCTCTCAGAACTGTCTGTTCATCATAGAAAAAGTTGATTATATTTTTTACATAGTAATAAAAATAATTTATAAGTGATAAAGTTTATTAAAATTTTTTCTCACCAAAGAAAATAGTTAAATGTGATTGGCCTTTTAAAGAAAAAACTTCGAGAAGGATAGTACAATGATATATATAGGTGTTTAAATTATTTTTGAAAAAAAGTAATTTTGCAAAAAATTTCATTGTTGTTATATTTTTTTTACATTAATGTATTTTATTTAATAATTCAAATAGTCTTAACAATAATTTTGTGAATATTAACTTAGACACTTATATATAGGAGTAGATAATAATTTGAATATTTTTAAGGTATCCAATTGCAAAATTTAATTAACTAATATGATTTTCAAAAATAAAGTCTATTAAACTGTTTTCTGTTTATAATTTATATAAACTATTTAATTTTGGAAAATTACTGTATTTATAATAACCTCAGAGATATTATAATATATTTATTTAAAGAGAATGGTGATCCTAGTGTAGTGGTTGGGTTGTCATCCTCCAAGTGGCAGGTCTAAGGTTCAAATCCCATCTATGATGAAATTTGGAAATTATATCTATATTATGGTAACTGTCTTTTGTCAATCAGTTGGCCTCATATGGTTGTTACCTAGGTACACCAAGTCGGGTCCTCCAACATTGGAAGCTCAGGCATCTATGCAAAATGTAACATTACATGTATATAAAGAAATGTTTACCAGTGTTGCATAAGACTTCGGTGCAAACCCATGATAAGACCATTAGGTGTAGAAGACTAAGAAACTGAGATGACAGAAACCCACTTGGAAATCTCTGAGTAAAAAGATAGCATAAATTTTTGATGGTACCATCAGACTAGTTGAAGCCTACAAAACACCTTTATAAGAACCAAAGATTAAAACTGAACATTAAATATGTGTAGAAAAGCACATAACCAATTAGGCTGTTAGATTCACTAAAGGAAAAGGATACATAAATATACCATACCAGGCTATCTAGATTGGTAGTCTGAAATAAGACCAATGGTTCTAAGTTGCGACTAGTAGGTAATGATAAAGAAGATGCTAGAAAGATAGGTACTGAGGTTTTAGTAAACTTTACAAGAGTAGAAATAGTGTAATGTAGCAGTTAAACAGATAACCTCTATGACTACAAGTGTTAGATAACTATAGTGTGTTGCATAAAACTAGGTCTATATATGTAGAATATAAAGGCTCTAGTAAGTTTCCTATCAAGAATAAAGTAGTCCTAATGGTAATGATAAGCATCAGGAACTTGGATGGGTGTAGTCTTGAGATGTTCTTATGATACAAGGAGGATTGTATATGCAGAGAGTTTAAATAAACAAAACCTCTAGTTGGCTTGCAGGTATAACAACTAGTGTAGAACTTATATAGCAATGTATAAGCAGACTACTTAAATTAGACACTAAAAGTGCACATGTGGTTAGTTGTAACCTTCAATATATAGATAGCTTAGAGGCATATCATGTTCTATAATACTTAAATAAAAATGTCATATCCTCAAAATAGGAACTTTAACTATAAAAAATAAAAAAATAAAAAAGTTCAGAATATACTGTAAAATAAGGTATTAATAAAAAAAAAAAGGTGTTATCAAGAATTTATTAGCAAGGTTAAAAAAAATATATTTATAATTGCAAATTATAGTTCTAACATTTACCAAAACTATATTAATAATTATAGTCAACAAAATCAATGCAAAAAATTTATATATTAAATTATTTATTTAAAAGCTTCACTATATAAATATTATAAAATTCAGATCAAAAAGAAAATTAGCATAAATTAGATAAAAGTATTAAATTGATAAATTTAAAACTAAAGAACCTTTGAATTGTTCATCTATAATAAATATTTTAATAATATTTAGTTTGTCTAAAGTACTATAGCTGGATCTAAAATATCCAACTTGTTAACAATTTTTAACTAATATGCATTGAAAATGTAAAATATAATATATTATAAAACTTTCATAATTCACATAAATTTTGGAGCATCTGGCAAAAAATTAACTAAATGATAATTTGACCGATTTGATAATATTGTGATTTAGGTAATAATCAATTACATAATATGTATATCTTTGATAAATGATTAAGAATAATATAAAGCTATAAAACATAAATCATGATTTTTATTTTTGCTAAATAACATTTTTAAGGCATATTCATTAGAAAATTATTGAAAAATATTTAGAAAACTTGCAGTTTGATTGATCACTAAACATCTAGACATTAGTAAATTTATGCATGAGTTGAATTCTCAAACATTTTCAAAGAATGGTTATGTTGAAAACTTTTGGCACTTAAGGTTTATTAACTTTGAATATATAAAATATTTTAAAACTTTTATGAATAAAAACTGATTGGTATTTGTATGAGTTACAATTAAAGATGAAACTGATAACTATCTAAAATCTGATTGGCAATTAAAAGCAATAGCAAATTAGATTTTAGATAGTTTACAGTTTTATTAGTATAATTTAGTTCATCAGCAACTCTAGTTATGACACAAAATTGGTTTATTACTAGCTTAAAATGTTTATATCAACTTGAACATATGAATAAAAAAGTATATAATATTTATATTAAAATTTAATAATATATAAATTTCAACTTGTAAAAGAAAGAAATAGATAATTTTACTTTATGAAGTTCTAATATACACCTAGTATTGTTCAGAATATTGTTACTATATAATCACATCCTGAATCAAAAGTTTATCACTACTAAATTAAAAACTTATCAATTCAGTCATGTAATTATTTGGTTAATTTTTTTTATTAAATGTTTCAAAAATTATAAAAACAGCTATAATCATTATTGAAATTACAAACTTATTGAATCAACAAATATTAATTCAGTTAATTTGTTACAAGATGTTTTAGAAATTATAAGAACAACTGTAATAGATACATCTTAGTGTTAGTTATTTCTAATTTATATATTAATAGAACACAATGCTTTAGTACATCTTCAAAAATAATATGGATTTATCTTATTTTATTTTATTTATTTTTTTAAAAAAATAAGAGCAATACTGCTTCTGGATAAAAATAGTTCAAGTGTATCATTATATAAATATTGATAGCAAGATTCGAATTGTAAGCTTCGATTGAGCTATTAGAAAACCTGTCTAAGCATAATTGTGTAGTGTTGGTCTTTGAACTCTTATGACCTATTGGCTAAATATAGATTATGTCTACATATAGCTCATATAAATTGGATATGATCTAAAATGGCCAATACTAATATGTATTAGAGTTTTGATATGTAATTATGAAACTGGAAACTAAGTATCCTAGCCTTATTACTTAATTATTTTCTATATTTTTATGCACTAATATTCTAACTATACTGTTTATTGCTTTATTTTTTAGATACATTAGAATTAGAGGTTGGAACTGATTTTAATAATTTGAGTTTATCATATAAATATTGTGATATTTAAGAAATTTATCCAATTAAATTTTAATAAATTCTAAAATATCACAAAATTCATGTGATAAACCCAAATTATTAAAACTAATATTACTATCAGATTTTAGAAGAGCATCAGTAAAGACCAGATTTAGATCAGTAATAGTGAACAAAAGTAAATTAGTTATATATATATAATATGTATAAGACTTAAATAAGTTGTATAGAACAGAATAAGGACAACAATAAGTGAATGTATATGCGAGATATCAATAAGAGACATGAGGTCAGATGGAATAGTTTTAATAATGATGTTGTTAAAAAAAATATGAATTTAAGTCAGAAGTTAATTTATATGATTATAAAGATGCCTTCATGATAATGAGACTATAAAGATGTATTTACAATAATACAGTGATGCAAATAAAAAATTCAATGTATATATGAGAGTATTTTTAAAAATATTAATAAGATCAAAGTCTTTTTATTAAAAGTCTAATATAATATAAACAGAAAAAAAAACAAAAGAAACTAATAATCTAAGCTTTTCATAAAGTACATATGCTCATATGCTAACTTAAAATTATATGTACTAATACTTTGGTTTTACTTAAAAAAAAAAATAAAAATAAAAATAAAAAAAAGATTGAACAGTACTACAGAACCTTTTATGCATGCCTATAAGATTTAAATTTAAAAAGAGAAAATTCTTTAAGACTATTAATAAATTCTATTATAATTTTCTGATTTTCATACTTTTGATCAGCATTCAAAATATAAGATATTATTTTTGTGATAAAAACAAATTAAAATGAATTCTATTGCATTTTAAAAATAAAATCTTATTTACTAAGTCAGAAGATAGATATGTTCATTTTGCTAAAATATAATTACTAGCATCTGAAAATAATCTCTCACTCAATACAGAACTATCTAGGATAAAGAGATACTTGCATGCTAATTAAGCCAAAATAGGCAAGCTACTTTTATTATTTAACCATCATTCTAGAAAAGCATTATTAACATTAATTTCTTGAAACTTTATATAATATGTTATTTCATTCTTTTCTTTTATGTTTGTTTGTGCAGAATCTGCTTTTAACTCTCAAAAAAAATTATCATTGCTATAACTTTATTTGTCAAGCTTTCTTCAATATTATCTGGAACTGTAAGACTTATTTTTAACTCCTTATATAGGTTTTTTACAAATTTTGTACTTTGTTTCATTCAGTATTTGTTGCTTAATTAAAATGTTTGAATCTTGAATCAAGAAATGTAGCAACTAAAGCATTATCTGATGAAACTGACCATAACTCATCTATTGACAACTAAATAGCAGCTCAAACTCTATTAAGCAAGCTGGTAGTAGAAACTAATGATAGATCCTCTACTTTGTCTATATCTTTTAAATCTTTATTATTAAATTGTTTTAGCATTTTTCTATTTTGTTTATAACTATGACTATGAGCAACCATCCTTTAGTAAAATTGTTTGTATGTATATTGCTATTGTTAATGGGTATTAGCAGCTAGAATATTATCATTACTTGTTTCATTACTCTTATTATTATCATTTTTTGTTTTTTCATAAATAAGATTCAAATAGGTATATATTATTTCATCTGTTTTTAGTACAAATTTCTTCTTAAGTAGTTTTATATATGGATAAACAAGATTAAGAGTTGGGTACTTAGTATCATATAAATGTCAGGTTACTTTTTCAATCAGTTTTAGTAATTTCATCATATCTTGCAAAAATCTGTAATAAAAAAAAAAAATTTAATTCTTATAAAATAAAGATTGCTAAAAAGAAAATTAAATATGATTATAATAAAATCTAAAATAATATAGGGTTAAGATTTAAAAAAACCTCCAATTTAAAGATATAATAATAAGAGACTTTACTATAGATTCTATACTACTATACAGTGCTACATATAATGCTGCAGAGTTATTATATAAAGAGAGATACCATACAAGATTTATTGTATATAGCACTATATAGTAATTATATAGAATTAAATAAACAAATTTAAGTAAATTTTAATTACTCTTTTTCACTAACTAATAAATATAATTTTTCTAGTTTTTCCTCTTCTTTTTAGAAAGCATGATCTGTTTTGGCAAGTAAAGAAGTTAAGACAAATTGCATCATATTATGCAATTTTAAAATATATTTTCAGACCAGATAGGTAGAGTTTCATCTTGTTTTTATATTTGTTAAAACATTAAGGAGATTTGCAACAGTATTTTGACTATATTTACTTATATTAAATTCACATTATGCTTCTTATAAACATTGTGTCTGTTTAGAAAGTTGAAAAAAGCTTGTAAGCTTTTAACATGATAATAGGTGAATTTACATTGTTTTAATCCTTTTTTGACTAATAGTTGTAACATGTAAGTAGTACAAAATTGATATACTATATGGTTAAAGTAGTTTTCATGTAATAAATTTATTCCTTTAACTATGTTAGCACTATTATCTGTAGTTATAGCAAAAACTATTGTTTTAAGTCACTATTCATAAATTATATAAAGTAATTCTTTACTAATTATTTCTTTAGTATGTGAGTATGCAAAATAATCACAAGAGAGTAATGCCTCCTGAAGTTTAAAATCTAAGAATAGTCAAGTTACTGTAATGTTTAAATAGCTATGATAGGACTTTACTGTTTACAAGTCTGTAGACAAGTAAATAGTTATTGCACTACTACTAAGTAAAGATCTTAACTGACTATAGGTCCAATTATATGTTTTATAAATTAAGCTCTTGGCAGTTTTGTTACATAGCATTCAAAAGCTGGATACACAGATATAAATTAACTTATAAAAGAATTCATCTTGTAAAATATAAAGAGACTCAATAAACTAAATAATGAATTGAATTAATTTTCTTGCTATTAGTTGTTGCATATATGGTGAACATAGTAGCACTGCATAGTTAAAATAATTAGTAATTTTGGTTTAATCATATTTTGGCTAATATGTAAGGTCAATAAAGTTTTTTATATTAATAAGTTAATTTAATTTATAGTCAAAATTAAAAAATTTAACTTACTAGATAGCATAATTTGAATGCCATTCAACAAGTTGAATTTTTTAATTTTAACTAACATTAATAATATTGTATTTCATTATATTCATCCAAGTGATCAGTATAATTATATTGTGCTTATTATATAAGTAGGCTATTATATTTGAAGTATTATTGCTTTTATAAGTATATGAATAAGGCTTTTGCTGACTTCCAACAAGGTTAAGTTTACATACTTTACAGTATGCAAAGTTAGAGTTATTTTCATCTATATGAAAAAAAGGTCATATGACTTTTATTACTATAGCTAATTCTAATATTAGTCTTCTATTTTTTTTGACTCTTAATTTGTACAAATAATGTAATTGATGGTATAGAAATAGATTTTTCAGTATCTGAAAACAAAGGTAAAGACATTTTTTTCAATTTATGAAATTTAAATTTATTGTTATAAAGTATTGTTTATTCTTTAATAATAATTATCAGCTTTTTTTATATGAGTTAAGGCTATTAGAATTATGTAGATTTGAGATTTCTATATCAATATTGCATCAAGAAATTTTCATATTTATATATATGGTATGAAGCAAGAATCTAAAACCTTATTTCATTTGTATAAAAATAATATTCCATAGAACTGTTCTTACTAATTACTTGCTATATTTCATAAAACTGTTTTCATTAATAACTTACTATATTACATGGAATTGTTCTTATTAATAACTTGCTATTGGCAAATTTAGTTTATCTTCTGTACAGTAAAATTTCTTATTAGCACATTATTTCTATTTAAAACTTTAAAGTTTTAGATTTTCCACACTGCATATTTTTTTACTTCTGTAAATAATTATATACAAGATTCTGCCAGATGTAATATACAAGAAAATTTTTAAAACATATACACAATTTGTACTTATAAAAAATAATTAAGTTTTTCAAAAAAACAACAACTAAAATTAAATTGCTAAACATCTATATTCACATCTGGTGTAATTTTATTTGTTATATTATTATTAACCTTGATATATTCTAGTATATGCAGTTTTACGTACTATAAACAAAAGTCTGAATTATTTATATTCTAATGAATAATTAAGAGTTAAACTATAATAATATTGAGCAAATTAATAGCAAAATAACAGTATTAGTATCACATTCATGATACTAAGTATAAAGTATAACTTTAATATACAGTATATTACAATACTTAACAAATATGCTAGTATGTATGTATGCAAAATTATTAGGCATAAAGCTATTTGCATAATCATCAGCTATGCTATATATGTATTGTGTATGTTACTTTCAAGTAGTCAAATATGTATATACTTTTTAGCTTATTAGTATAGTGTATTCTCAATTCAAATTTTTTTTTAAAAAGATTAGCTAGAAATAAAAATATGCAAATCAAAGTAACAACAGAGACAGTGCCTAATCCAAAGTAAATCTTCCTTATTTGTGATTAATCACAAATTAAATTATTTATGTTGGATTCAATTATAATGAATATAATTCCTTACTAGTTTAATATACTGTATGTGTAATATAAACAGTCTTTGCTGTTTATCAAAATATTATACAAGCCAAAAACAAGCTCTATAGTTTTTAAATTATATTTAAAATATAACTTTTATACTGATCTTTTTTATTCATATATAAAATAATTTAATCAAAACTAAGTTTCATATATGCAAGTTATAGTAAATAGCATAAGATAAATAAGTGCCATTAAGAGAAAGCCTATCATCAGGCTCAATTCCATTTTGTTTACTGAACACAATCACTAATAAATCAAATAGATTTAGTCTGAAACAGAATACATATATAATTGAATGCTAATAGCAAGTTTTTCTTTATGACACAAAGATCATATAATCATTTGAATAAAATCAGTTATAATAAAACTAATTAATTAATTAAAGACAGTTATAATAAAACTGATTTATTGAATTAAAAAATTTCTAATTCAGTTATAATTTATAACTAGTTATATCAGATTATAAATCCAATTATAATAACTGGTTTTAAACTCTAAAAGAGGTATCTGTTGCTTAATTATACATAAAAAATTTAGCAAGGTTTATATATCTATAAGCTAAGCAGCTAAGTGGCCAAGCAACTAAGTGATTAAGTAACTAAGTGACTAAGCATTAAGTAACTAAGTAACTAAGTATTAAGCAACTAAGTGACTAAGTAATTACTAAGTAACTGAAAGGTTTTAGCAACTAATAACTAATAATTACTAAGTGACTAATTACTAAGTGACTAAACAACTAGATGACTAAGTGACTAAATAACTAAGCAATTAAATAACTAAGTGACTAAGTAATTACTAAGTAATTAAAAAGTTCTAGCAACTACTAAAAATAATAATACAATAATAAAATAACTAATACTAAATAATAATAATAATAAAATTATAATAATAACTAATGATAATGACCTTTAGGATTGATAACATAGTGGTTATGCTCTGAGGTTACAAATCACAAGGTTGCCTGTTTAAATCCTAGTGATGGCAATTGTAAAGATGCATTTTCAAAAATAAAGAACTGTAATATCATGAAACCAAAAATCTGTGACATCTACAGACAGACTTATTTCTGAAATTAGCAAGTAATCTGCAATTAAGAAGCCATATGATACCAGATATGAGTTAGAGCCTAATTTGGAATAACCAAAGTTATGAGATATAATGTGAGGCTGAAAGTCTGACAATGAGAGATACTATATAAACTTATGATAATAGCTGGTTCTTGATAGAGCTTGGCAAAGCCTTCTGGTCACAGTAGGAGTTGGTGCAACTATCACTCTTAAAAAGTTTAAAAGTATGGACTAGGTGAGGTTGAGGTTCAGAAAAATATGAATATAAAGGACAATAGTTCAGAATATGAAGGACATACAGAAAAATCTTAGCAGAACAAGTCAAAAAAAAAAAAAAAAAAAAAAAAAACTAATGATAATAAAATAATAATAATTCATTCTATAACAATTCTAATAAATATTGTAGTTAGATTATAATTAATTACTATAATATAAATAACCTTTTAAAATAAGCTATAACTAGTTATAACAATATACATTATTATTATAACTTACTATATGAGGCATTATTAATTAAAATAGCTCTTTTTTACTTTTTTAAAAAAATTGAGTTTTTTCAATTTTTTAATATATATATATTTGACAAAAAGATTTACCAAATCACAAGACCAAATTATATAATAAAAAGATCTGTAAATTGCAAAAAAGTAAAAAAAAATTGAAAAATAACCAAATCTAAAAATATAAATATAAATTTTTAGATTAACTAGAATATTATAAAAATAAAAATCATTTAAATTATTAATAAATATACTTTAAAATTTTTATGTAAAGATAACTTTTTTTTATAATACTAAAGTTTATAAATTTTATTTATTATTGCAAAACTATATAATATCAATATTTTAATAAACTTTGTAGACTTTATTAATCCTTCAGAATTGGCTATCATGCATCTTTTGATGATTTGTTAGAGAACTTTTTCAGTGTTTTTAAGAACTTTTTTGTAAACTTTTCTTCTGTCTTTTGATATTTTTGAAAACTTTTTTGTAAACTTCTCTTTTGTCTTTCAATATTTTTGAAAAACTTTTTTGCAGACATTTTTTTTATTTTTCAGCATTTATTAGTAAATAAACTTTCTTATCTTTTGATCTTTTCTAACAAATCTTGTAGACTTTTACTAATCTTTTAGAATTGGTTAATAAACTTTCTCATAAACCTTTTGTTTATTGAAGAATTTTCTTGTAGATTTTCTTGTTTTTGGTAGTTTTAAAAAACTGTTTTGTGAATTTTTCACTGTTTTTTGATATTTTTGAAGAACTTTTTGCAAACTTTTCTTTGTTTTTCAGTATTTATTAGTAAGTGAACTTTTTTTTAATCTTTCAACCTTTTCTAGTAAGCTTTGTAAACTTTTATTAATTAATTAATAAATTTTTTTTTTGTAAATCTTTTATTTGTTAAAGAATGTTCTTGTAGATTTTCTTGCTTTTGGTAGTTTTAAAGAACTGTCTTGTAGACTTTTTTTCTGTCTTTTAATGTTTTTGGAAAACTTCTTGCAGACTTTTCTCTTGTCTTTCAGTATTTATTAGTAAGTAAACTTTTTTTTAATCTTTTAACCTTTTCTAGTAAGCCTTGTAAACTTTTACTAATCTTTTAGAATTGGTTAATAACCTTTTTTTCTTGTGGATTTTTTGTTTGTTAGTGAACTTTCTTATAGATTTTCTTGTTTTTGGTGGTTTTAAAAAACTGTCTTGTGGACTTTTCTCCTGTCTTTTGATGTTTTTAAAGAACATTTTGCAAACTGTTCTTTTGTCTTTTAGTATTTATTAGTAAGTGAACTTTCTTCTAATCTTTCAACCTTTTTAGTAAGCTTTGTAAATTTTTACTAATCTTTTAGAATTGGTTGATAAACTTTTTTCTTGTGAATCTTTTTTTTATTGAAAAACTTACTTGTGAATTTTCTTGTTTTTAGTAATTTTAAAAAACTGTCTTGTAGATTTTTCTCCTATCTTTCAATGTTTTTGAAAAACTTCTTGCAGACTTTTCTCTTATTTTTTAGCATTTATTAGTAAATGAACTTTTTTCTAATCTTTTGATCTTTTCTAGTAAGCCTTGTAGACTTTTACTAATCTTTCAAAATTAGTTAATGAACTTTTTTTCTTGTAAATCTTTCATTTGTTAAAAAACTTGTAGATTTTCTTGTTTTTGGTAGTTTTGAAAAACTGTTTTATAGACTTTTTTCTTGTCTTTTGACATTTTTAAAAAACTTCTTACAAACTTTTATCTTGTCTTTTAGTATTTATTTGTAAGTGAACTTTTTTCCAATCTTTTAACTTTTCTAGTAAGCCTTGTAAACTTTTACTAATCTTTCAGAATTAGTGAACTTTTTTTCTTATAAATCTTTCATTTGTTAAAAAAATTTCTAGTGTTTTTGAAGAATTTTCTTGTAGACTTTTTACCTATTTTTTGATGTTTTAGAAGAACTTTCTTGTAGACTTCCTTCTGTTTTTTGACATTTTTGGAAAAGTTTTTTGCAGACTTGTTTCTTGTTATTCCTCTTATCTTTTTAGCATTTAGTTGATGAACTTTCTTGTGGATTTTCTTCTAATATTTTAACATTTTTGGTAAAATCAAAGGAATATTTACAAGAAAGCTTACTAACTATTTTTTTATGAATTTTCTTCTAGTTTTTTAGCATTTTTTTTAGTAAATTTTATGTAGATTTCTTTCTGATATTTTTTTAAAGAATTTTTATATAATATTTTTTTGTTTCTCAGCATTTTTCTAATAAATTTCTTGTGAATATTTCTTTGGTTTTTCAGCATTTTTTTTAGTAAATTCTTTGTAAATTTTTCTTTGGTTTTTTGGTGTTTGTTTAGTGAATTTTATATAAATTTCATTTTGGTCTTTCAGCATTTTTTCTGGTGAATCTCTTGTGGATAACTTTTTTGTCTTTCAGCATTTTTTTGGTGAATTTCATGTAGATTTCCCTTTGGTATTTTGATGCTTTTCTGACAAATTTCTTGTAGATATCTTTCAGGTTCTTTAGCATTTTTTTGGTAAATTCTCTTGTAGATTTTTTCTGGTTTTTTTGTGATCTTTTGGTGAATTTCTTGTAGATATTCTTCTAGTCCTTTGGCATTTTTTTTTGAAGAATTCTTTTGTAAATTTCTCTCTGATCCTTCAGTATTTTTTTGTAAATTTCTTATAGATATCTTTCTGGTTTTTGGTATTTTTTTGATAAATTTTATGTAGATTTCTTTCTGATTTTTGTACTAAGTTTAGGTAATTTTTTCAATCAATTAATTAAAATTATCTTTCTGTTTAATTTTTTTTAATTTGTATAATTGTTTTTTCTTTATTAGAAGATGTACTAATTTTAACTTTTTCTTTATCTAAACTATTAAATTTTAAATAATATTGTTTTAATATTTTTGAAATTATTGTAAATTTTTGTTTTAACTAATTTGTTTATTTATAAAAATATACAACTTGATTTTTTTCATCATCAAAAATTGTTTGTATAATATTATATCTACTGAGAATTAAATTTTGAACTATATTAATTAAATTATTAAAATTATCTACATACTTCTGATTTTCTTAAAAATATTTTTATTAATTCAAAAAAATTTATCTAAACTAAATTTAATATGTTCTGTAATGAAATAATAAGTTATACTATCATATAATCTTGTTAAAACTTTCTAAACTAAATATGCAATTATTATATTATTCTTATTTTGTTTAAAACAATTATTTGAATAAATTATTAAATTTTTTTACCTAATCCATATAATTCAAAATAATTATAAATATAATTATATAATAAAAATAATATTATTATTTACTTAATATAGAAATACATCATTATATATTTTAAATAAATAAACTTTGTATAAAGATTTAAAATAAATTTTATTCTAATAATAAAATAATTAATAAATAATTATTAGTATTTATGATTAAATTTTTATAAATTTAATAAAATTATTTACTTCTTGTTAAGATAAATGTAGTAATTAAATTTATTAAGTATAATTCCAAGAAAGATAACTGTAATATTTAAAGAATTTAGTTTTTCAGAATGTATTATATTTTTAATTCTAAATTTTTTAATATCTTTATATACTATTTTAATATATTTTTAATAAAATTTTTAATTATAAAAATAATGTTTATAAAATAAATTATTAAAAATTAAAATTATTTAAATAATTTATAAAATTTAATTTTTTTTTTTTTAAATATTAAGATGAGTACTTGTAACTCAGAATTTTATTAGTAGTATATTTGGCTAATAGATGCTTTACAACTACAGAGAGCAACTATAGAAAGAGTGTACAACTAGCCACTTGTACAACTTTAGTCATTGTCTAATTTAAGTAGTCTGCTCAAAGGTCCTACACTAGCTGCTATATCTGGAACCTACTTGTAGGTTCCTTATTTAACCATTCTGTTTCCATATCTATTCACCTACCTCTGCCTACTAATGATCCTGGCTAATGCTGATGAAAATATCTATGGCCACTAAGTCTTTAAAGCAGTTCATTCATATGTGGAATCTTTGACCTTATACTAAACCTTTCAGAATCTTCTGTATCCCATTCTTACAGCTAACCTGGTATCGCTATGACTGAGACCAACATTGGTGGTCAGAGCATACTATTAAACTGCTATGTCCTTATAGAGTTCACCCCAACCCCAGTACTGACTTTACAATATATCCTTACTACTTTGGTATTCAATTTAAATTCCACTAAGCTGCCATTTCAGATAGCCCAGAAAGGTAGATCGAAACTATACACCTCTGGTTCACATGTTTGCTGGCATGTGTTCTTTTCCTCTAGAACTCGAAAATTCCAGCAGCCTGGTTGGTTCATCCAGTCCCTCCTCAAAGATCAGCACATTTGTCTGGTTTTACAAGTTCTAGCTCCATTTCATAAGTCTAGTCTTTACAGTAGTACTGTCGAAGGTTCAGGTTACCTCTTTACTCAGGTCTTCCAAGTGGGCTTCCATCTTCCTATCTGGTTCCTATGATTTATACAGCCTAAGGACTTATCTTGGGTTCACACTACCTAGTACCAGTTTGTGTTTTCTTATACAATATTGTATGAGTGCCTAGACCTTCCAGTCATGCTAGTATGACATAGGTTACAGGTATCCTATCCTAACCAATCACAGAAGACAGTTAGCTATAACACAGAAAGAATTGCAAATTTTTGCTATCACTGAGATTTGAACTCTAGACCTGCCACTTGGGGATTAACAACCTATTCACTTCACTAGGTCGCTACACCCTTTTATAAAATTTAATTAAAAATTAATTTAAATAAAAAATTTTAATTAAATTTATTTTTATAAATTTAAACTTACTTTTAATTTTCTTACTCTTCTTGTGCCTATTAATATGTTCATACTATTCTAAAACTTTAGTTTCTTTTTTTTTAATTAATTAATAATTTCAATAATTTGCATTAAATCTTATATCTTTATATTTTAAACATAAATTATTATATGGAGTTAATTTTTTGATACATGGAAAAATTTTTTTCAAATTCTAATAAATGTCATTAAACTAATTTCAAATTAGTTATTAGTATTAATTGTTTCTAAATATTAAGTATGTAAAAATAAATAAGTAGTATTTGTTAGTAAATATATAATAGCAATAGTATTATTACAAAAACTTTGTTTTATAAAATTTAAATTTATTATAAATAAAATAATAGATTTTAAATTAATTATAATATTAATAAAATAAAATTATTATAAATAAACAAAATAATTATAAATAAAATAATTTAAAAATTATCTAAAGAGAGGATAGGGTCTCATAGCCTAGTAGTCTAGGCACCCCTTCCTCCACAGACAAGGTTGATGGTTCAATTTCAGCTGAAGACAAAACTTTGTAATCTATGAAAGCATATGAATATATGCGAAGCTCTGTGACTTAAGTTCATATGAATAGAAAATTAATATATAAGAAAGTTCCTAGAAGGAAGTTTCTGATATGAAGAGTTGGCACTCAATGTGAAAGAAGTGGTGAACATACCAGAAATGAAGAGAAGGTGCACTAGCGAGTAACACAGTAAACATAAAAGAAAACTATAGAAAAAGAATAAACTTACTGAAACTTGAACATTTCTGGCATCAAAACCAGTTTAGTGAATACAGAATATACTAATATAGATAAAATCTAAGGGGGTAATCTTGGTACTATACTTAGTAAGTTTGTGTCAAGAGTAAATTTGAAGGACTATAAATACTCGGTAACATCCAATGAGATAGTACTTTGATATAAATAGTAATTAGATAGCTCTAACCTGATATGTCCATATAGTAATAGAAAGTTGTAATGCATAGAATTGAAAATCAGAAAGTTTAAATAGGTGATTCACAGGTGGATCTCAGATATGATAGCTAGTAAATAACTCTTAGGCAAAACCTTTAATTAGATAATGATTAAAGTTATATATATGACTAGTTATACTTTCATTGATAAATTTTGTATTAATTAATAACCAGATATTACTCAATAAAAGACAGACAGGCAAGATTGCTACTTATAATACAAAAATTATCTGAAGATAATAAATCATTTTGTTTAACAAAATTTTCTATAAAGATAAATATTTTTATTACTGTCTCAAAAGATATTATTTAATTTTTAACTTATTTAGTTTTTAAATTAATATATAAATTATATTATGTTTTATAAAATAATTTTTTAAATTTTTCTATCTTGTATCTTCAAAACTATAAATCAGTTTAAAAGATTTTTACAAATTGATTTTTCTTCAAGCTATATTTTGTAGTAAGCTTAAAATTCTTTAAATTTTTAATTATTTCTGATTATTTAGTAATAGAAATTATATTTAATAAATATATATTTTGTAAAGATTTAGTAAGATTTTTAAAATTTAAATATCTTTTTAAAGTTACAGAATATTCAACTTGAGTTTGTAACCAATTTTTTTCACAACAAACTTTTTCAAAAAAATTTTTAAAGTCATTATTTTGTAATAAATTTATTTTATTTTCTAAACCTTAATTATTGTTTTCTTGTTTTTCAATATCTTTTTTTTTATAATTTTTTTAAAATTTGAAAGCTTTTTTTTAGTCCAAATCTCATTTTCTAAAAGACTATTTTCTGTAATTTCTAAAATTTCAGATGATTCTAATAAAGATAAATTATCATCTTTTTGAACTAAAAATTGAGATTGAAAATTTGAAAGGTCTGTTTGTAATTAAGTATTTTTTATAAGTTTCTTCAAAAATATTTTATTTAAAGAAAAAATAGATATTTTTACAAAATAAAAATTTTAAATTTGATATTTTAATCAATATAATTAATTATATATATATTAATCATAATACAATATACAATATTTAAAATTTAATTATTATTCTATTATTGTATTATTTTTTTTGATGTTAAGGTGACCTTTTTGGTCTTTTTAACTTTTATTAATTATTTATTGGTATTGTGATTCAATAAACCATTACAGGAGAGCATACAATTGACTACACATATAACTTTTCTATATTACCTATTTAAAAAGTCTGTCTGAAGGTTCTTTACTAATTGCTATATCTAACACTTCTGCTTGGATGTTCTACTTTAAACTCTCTGAACCTGTAATCTGTGTTAACTTACTAGGTTATATTCAGATGCCCAGATCATCATTTCAATTTTAAGACTAATTTATTCTCAAGATAAACTCTCTAGAGCCTTCTGTACCTATTTTTATAGCTAACCTAGATATTGCTATAGCAAAACCAACACTTGTAGTTAGAGCTTAATTATTAAACTGCTATGCTTTTGTAAAGTTTACTCAGATCTTAGTATCTACTTCATAGCATAACTTCAGTATTTAGTATATTTTTGAATTTTACCAGACTTCCAATTCAGATAGCCTATACAAGCCTATGGCCAGTCTATCAGTATATTAGATGATCTAATATCCTTTTTCTTCAGTTTGTTTTGGCAGCCTGGTTTGTGATATCTCTAAGACTTCCAACCCAAAGGTTCTTGCCTGTCTAGTTACTAAGACCTAAGTATCTGTTTTCTTAAAATAGCCTTTACAGTAGCACTATTAAAGATTTGGCTATCTTTTTATTTAAGTCTTTCCAAATGAACTTCTTTTTACTTAATTTACATGGCTATAAGGACTTATCTAGTGTTTGCACTGCCTAGTTATTAGTTTGCATTCCTCTGTATAACTCCAACATTGCACAGATGCCCTATGACTTGCCAGTCATACTGATGCAACTGCTATTACAGATATTCTAACCTAATCATTAGTAACAGTTACCATAATACAAATATTATATAGGTAATTATTTAAATTTTTATCATCAATAGGATTTGAACATCTAACCTACCACTTGGAGAGTTGACAACCTGATCACTTCACTAGGTTATTATACTTCTTTTATTATTATATTATATAAAATTCAAAACATATTATTTACTAAAATTTTATATTATTAAAAAAAAAAACTTATGCATATTTGTATCTATAATACAATAACAATAATCTTAATAAGCATATTTATAAGAATATTAATTCTAGTGCAGTAGTTGGATTGTTATTCTTCAAGTAGCAGGTCTAAGTTTCAAATCCTACTTACAACAAAATTTAGAAATTATATTTGCATTATAGTAACTGTTTTCTATCGATTAGTTGGCCTCATGTGACTGTAACTCAGATATATCAAGTTGGGTCCTACTGATATTGGAAGCTCAGAGCATCTATATAAAGTATAATATTACATATACATAAAGAAATATACAATCAGTATTGCATAAAACTTTGATGCAAACCTATAATAAAACTATCAGACATAGAGACTAAGGAACTGAAGTAACAGAAATCTACTTGAAAATTTCTGAGCAAAGAGATAGCATGAACTTTTAACAGTACCATCAGACTGGTTAAACCTATAAAACACTTTCATAGAAACTAAAGGTTAAAACCAGATGACAAATATGTGTAGATAAACATATAACCAACTAGGCTGCCAGACTCACTAAAAGAAAAAGATACAGAAGTATATTATACTAAACCATCTGAATTAGTAGTTTAGAATAAGACTAATAGTTCCAAGTTGTGACTAGTAGGAGATAATAGAAAAGATGATAAGAAGATAGATATTGGGGTTTTAGTAAACTTTACAAGAATAAAAATAATGTAATATAATGATTAAACAGACAACTCCAATAATTGCAAGTGTTAGGTAACTATAGTATGTTGCATAAAACTAGGTCAGTATGTGTAAAATATAAAGGCTCTAGTAAGTTTTTTGTTAATAATAAAGTAGTCCTAAGAGTACCAACTAGCATCAGGAACTTGAATAGGTGTAGTTTTGAAGATGTTCTTGTGATACAAGGAGAATTGCATATACAGAGAATTTAAATAAGCAAGACTTCTAGTTAACTTGCAGATATAGTATCTAATGTAAAACTTATATAGTAATGTATAAGTAAACTACTTAAATTAGACACCAAAAGTGCATATGTGACTAGTTGTAATCTTCAATATAAGATAGCTCCAGGTGACATGCTGTGTTCTATATACTTAAATAAAAATATTGCATTCTAAAGATAGGAACTTTAATATTTAAAAAAAAAATAAGCATGTTTATTAACAAAAACTTTATATGTATCTGCAAGTACATACAAGAAATACCAAAAGACTAGAGGAAAATTTACAAGATAATTCAAATTCAAAAAAGCATCAAAACAAAGGGAAATCTATATAAAATTTACCAGAAAAATCCTAAAGGATCAGAGAAATATTTACAACAAATTTATCAAAAAAACACTGAAAGACAATAGAAAAATCTGTAAGAAAATTCACTAAAAAAAAATGCTGAAATACTAAAAAGAAATCTACATAAAATTCACTAAAAAAATGCTAAAAAATTAGAAGAATATCTATAAGAAATTTGCCAAAAAAATACTAAAAGACTAAAGAGAAATTCACAAAAGAATTCTCTAAAAAAAAAAAACCAAAGGACTAGAAAGATATTTACAAGAAATTTATCAAAAAAATGCTAAAGGATCAGAAAAAAATTTACAAAAAAATTCTTTAAAAAAAATTACCAAAATACTAGAAGAAAATCTACAAAGAATTTGCCAGAAAAATTCTGAAGAACTAAAAGAATATTTACAAGAAATTTATCAAAAAATGTTAAAGGATCAGAGAGAAATTCACAAAAAGAATTCTTTAAAAAAAAATATCAAAATATCTACAAGAAATTTACCAAAAGACTGTCAAAGAATCAGAGAAAAATTGACAAGAAAATTCTTCAAAAAAAAATGCCAAAGAACCAGAAAAAAATTCACAAAAAAATTTTTTATAAAAAAAAATATCAAAAAACTAAAAAAAATCCACAAAAAGAATTCTTCAAAAAAAAAATATAAAAATATTCACAAGAAATTTACCAAAAAACTGCTGAAGAACCAGAGAAAAATCTACAAAAAAATAGTTGAACATTCTTGTTAATATTCTTCTAATTTCATCAAGAAAGATTACTAACTAAATACTAAAAAGACAAAAAAAAAGTCTACAAAAAAAGTTACAAAAAAAAATGCAGAAAGGCAAGAGGAAAGTCTGCAAATTCTTCAAAAATATTGAAAGACAGAAGAAAAGTTTATAAGAAAGATTAAAAATGCTGAAAATATAAAAATCTTAAGAAAGTTCTTCAACAAATGAAAGATCCATAAGACAGTTCATCAACCAATTTCAAAAGATTACTAAAAATCTACAATATTTACTAGAAAATATTAAAAGATTAAAAAAAAGTTTACTTACTAATAAATACTAAAAAACAAGAAGAAAGTCTGCAAAAAAATTTTTCAAAACCATTGAAAAACAGGAGAAAAATCTACAAGAAAGTTTATAAAAATATTAAAAACTACAAGAATATTCTTTAACAAACAAAAAATCTACAAGAAAGTTCATTAACTAATTCTGAAATATTAGTTAAAGTCTACAAGGTTTACTAGAAAAGTCAAAAGATTAGAAGAAAGTTTACTTACTAATAAATGCTAAAAGACAGAAAAAGTTTGCAAGAAAGTTCTTTAAAAATATTGAAAAACAGAAGAAAAGTCTACAAAAAAGTTCTTCAAAACTACTGAAAACAACAAAAAAGTTCTTTAATAAAAGATTTACAAAAAAGTTTAATTAATTATAAAGATTAGTAAAAGTCTACAAGATACTAGAAAATATTGAAAGATTAATAGAAAGTTCATTTACTAATAAATGCTAAAAGACAAGAAAAAAAGTCTGCAAGTTTTTTAAAAATATCAAAAGACAAGAGAAAAGTTTCCAAAATGTTTTTCAAAATATCAAAAGACAGAAGAAAACTTCATAAGAAAGTTTTTCAAAAATACTAAAAACTATACAAAAGTTCTTTAACAAAAAATTTACAAAAAGTTTACTAATCAATTCTAAAAGATTAGTAAAAGTCTACAAGGTTTACTAGAAAATATTTTTTTTATATATTTATATATAATTGTTTTTTAAATAAATGAAGTAATAAGGATGGCAATTCTAGTATAATAGTTGGGTTGTTATTCTCTAAGTGGCAGGTCTAAGGTTCAAATCCTATCTACAATGAAATTTGGAAATTAATTTGTATTACAGAAATTGTCTTCTGTTGATCAGTTGGCCTCATGTGGCTGTAATCTAGGTATACCAAGTCAGGTCCTACTTATCATTGAAAGCTTAAGGCATCTATACAAAGTGTAATGTTATATGTATATAGAGAAATGATAATAACTGATATTGCATAAGACTTCAGTGCAAACCTATGATAAGATTGCTAAGTGCAAAAGACTAAGAAACTGAAGAAACAAAATCCTACTTGGAAATTCCTAAGTAAAGAGATAGTACAAACTTTTAATAGTATTGTCAGATTGATAGAAGCTTATAAAACATCTTTATAGAAACAGGCAAATAAACCAGATAACAAAATATGTAAAGAAGCATATGATCAGCCAGGCTGCTAAAATTATTAGAGGAAAAGGATATTAAGATATATCATATTGAACTATTTGAATTGGAAATCTAGGAAGTCTGTTGGTTTTAAGTTGCAGTTAGTAAAAGATGATGGAAAAGATGTCAGAAAGATAGATACTAAGATTTGTGTGAACTTTACAAAAGTAGAAATAGTATAACATTGCAGTTTAAAGTTAGCCCTGACTGCAAGTATTAGGTAACTATAGCATGTTATATAAAACTAGGTTAGCTGTGTAGAACATAGAAGGCTCTAGTAATAATGCTTCTAAGAATATACTGCATAAAATAAGGTATGGAGTTCTAAGAATATAAGTAAGCAACTAAACCTTCTCAACTAACTTATATAGTAAAGATGATCTAATAATACAGTAAGAATTGCAGTACAGAAAGTTTAAATAGACAACACCTCTAGTTGAGTTGCAGGTATGGCAGTTAGTATAAAACTATTGCCAGACTACTTAATTAGACACCAAAAATATATATGTGACTAGTTGTACTTTCTAATATAAAAAGACTTTTTTGAAACCTTGGTCATAAGTCTCTATATCCTAACTACTAAATAAAAAATCCTAGCTTCAAAAGAAACTAGTTTAACTACAAAAAAAAAAAATAGATAAAATAATAAAAAAAAAACAAAAAAAAACTAACAAAAATGATATATATAATGTAATGAAAATTTTATTAATTAAACACTAATAATTAATCTAAAATAAATTAAAGTTACAAGTTATCAACCAGTATATTTTGAAATTTCTATGTAAAACTGTAAAATGCTATTTTTAGATTAAAAATCTTGTTTATTATATTTTTTTAAAACTTAATTTATTTAAAATAATTATATATAAAAAAAGACTATTTTAATTGATAATCTTCTATATAGGTTCTACACTAACTGTTATATTTGCAATTTAATTATAGATATTGTTTATTTAAACTATCTGTATTGCAATCTTAACTATATCACTAAATTATCTTTAATATCAATATTAGTTAAAAAAATCTAGATACTTATTTATATTCTTAAGACATCTTATCTTATTTATATAATTCATCTTCAAGACATCATTACTAGAACTTGCTATATTCTAATTTATAATTAACCTAGTTTACAACTTCTTGTGAAGTTCATACAATCTCAATACTTTTTTTTTACAACTTTACTAATATTATATCTATCTTTACAAATCTTTTCATATTACAAATCCAATTAGTTTTGCATAATATAACTTTATGCTCAAATCAATTAGTAATCAAATTAGTAAATCCTCTATCTAAAAGTTCTTGTCTGTACAAATTACCTACTTTAGATTTTCTTTTTCAGATCAAGATCTTCATAAATAATATTATTAAAAGTTATACTACTTTTTCACTTAAGATTTTCAAGCAGACTTCTAATTTAAATATATACTTTTCAGATTTATTGCATACTTCCAAAGTTAATCTTATATAACCAGAATTATAAAATCTACAAACCTCAATTTATGAATAAATTTACCAAAATAAAACTATTTTTCAAAATTTTACCACCAATAGAATTTAAACACTAGACCTATTGCTTAAAAAATGATAACACTAGAATCACCATTCTTATTTTAATTTTCTTATATATAATATTAAATAAAAAAGTTAATTAAATTTAGATAAATAAATATTAAATAATTTTTATTCAAATTTTAGATATCTACAATATAAAAAAAAAACTATTTTTTTAACTTTTAATGAATGTTTTTGACAAACAACTATCCAAATTCAATGGTTTTTTTATATTTTAATTCTATAAACTCGTAAAATTAAAATCAAAAAATTCATTAAATTTGAATAAATAATTATCAAGAAATCTTTGCTTAAGTTTAGTAAAAAAATTTTCCAATTTTTAGTTCTTTTTCTAAGATATTCTCATTTTTTTTAAACTTCTAGCAAAGATTTCTCAATAATTATTAAACCAAATTCAATATACTTTTATTATTTTAAATTTGCAACTGTATAAAATTTTTTACCAAGTTTGGTCAAGTAGTTATTGAGAAACCTAAAAGTCTAAAATTTTGAATAATCGCAAATTTTTTAGGTTGGTATCATTAGAACAGTTAACGCAAGAACGTATCTGAGGCACAAATACAATCAAATACTGTTTTATATAATTATTTTCAAATATAAATATATATTGTCAAAAAAAAATCAAAAATAAATTTATAAACAAAATTTGTCTAAAATTACTTAAGAAATACTATTTAAAGTTTACTTCCAACATTTTCATATTCGTTAGCAATCTTAATCAACATTTTACCAGTATTCTCACCTTTAAATAGTTTTAATAATGCTTGGGGCGCATTTTCTAATCCATCTACTATGAAATCTCTTCTTTTGAGCTTTCCTTGCTGCAACCATTTTGAAAGGTCAGATATTGCTTCTGGAAATCTATCTTGATAATCATAACTGTGTTCAAGTAAATTAATAAACATTAATCCTTTATTACTTATTAAACATATTTTATTTCGCATTACTTACACAATAAATCCTTCCATTCTACCTCTCTGAGCAATCAAAGTAATATAATTGGAAGGTCCTTTATAATTTTCTTCATTATATTGGCTGATAGCTCCACACAGAACTATTCTAGCATACCTCGCTATCCTTTTTAAACAAAGATTTAATATGTCACCCCCGACATTATCAAAATATACATCTATATAATTTGGCGTTGCCTGGGCCAATTTCTTAGGAAAGTCGGGATCACGATAATTTAAGGCAACGTCGAAACCTAATTCATCTACTATCCAGGCGCATTTATCAGGAGAGCCGGCTATACCTATTACTCTTGCACCTTTGATTTTTGCAATTTGACCTAACAATTACAAGAAAGGTAAATGATGAAATATATCGACAATTTCACAATATATGCATAAATTACACTAAATTACAAGAGTGAACAAACATACCAACCACACTTCCTGTTGCACCAGCAGCCTAAAAACATAGATAATTACGTAATTACATGGAAATAGTGGAAATAACATTCACACAAGAACTTCAGAAACTTACTCCCGATACAACAACAGTTTCGCCAGCTTTTAGTTTACCTACAACATAAAGTAAACATAGAGTGAAAAGTCGAAATATATGTAAATATATCAATGGATGTGCAAAATCAGTGTTGGGAAATTGGACCAACTTTGTTCCACTGAATCTATAAGCTGATCATGGGCTTATAGATTGCTATTGAGACGCAGAAGTCCAATCCTACTTCAAATTACTAGGCTTATAAAGGTGTTCACACCGTAAAATTAATTCAAAACTTACCAACTATTTATCGAAAGCACGTTTTAATGAGATACAATAAAATAAGATATTATCAATATAAAATATATGATTTAGCAGAAGAATCATGAGGCTTACCATCTAATAGCCCAAAATACGCAGTCAACCCGGTTATACCAAACAAGCCGAGATAATCACAAAGAGAAGACTTAGGTGGTGGACTATACAAAATTCAATTATACATCTGATGCTAATAAATATGCAATTAAATCACATGTCAAGCTTACAAAAGTTTTTCAACCCCGTTTCCATCACTAACAGCATATTCTTGCCAACCTGCAAGAAAAAAAAAAATTAGAATAATTCAAATTGCCTCCAAAATTAATACAATGAGGTTCTCAGATCAGCCGAACTTTTGACAATGAGCATTTAGGGAATAATAAGGAAAGCTTATTTATGAAGGTCAGTATATGCCGCATCTAGGGGTCTTATCATATACAGTCGCACCCCCACTGAGTGCATCCTACCGGGACCATAGAGAAAAAAATTAAAATTATGCACTTAGAGGGGGTTTACACTTATAGAAAATAAAACATATATGGCTTTTATAAGTTGGGGCCAAACTGTATCGGCATTTAGAAAGGTTTTACATAGTACTTGCACTTAGGGTGTGACTGTATGTCGAAACAAAAGAAAACGCAATATATTACCGAAAAGTCCCGAAACCTTATCACCGACTTTGAATTTAGAATTTTTTGATACAATAACCTCTGCAAATAATTCAAACAGTCGAAATTAAAGTTAGCAATTTAAGATAAGTTATACTTAAACCAGTAAAAGAAATACTCTGGCCATGGAAAAAAACGAGGTATCTGATCATGTGCTTCCGAACACTTTGATGCTTTAAAATCAAAACAGAAACAATATATGGTCAGAGTTAGAACTATAAATAATGGTGAAATAATTCATCACTATTGGTGCTGAATTGATGGAATTCGTGAAATTAATTTCATCAGCAACTCTAATTAGGACTATCAACACCTCGTTTTTATCATGACTGGAGAGTGCTTTAAAAAGAATACATTACCACCAACAGTGTAACCACGCATTAATTCGTTTATAGCTACACGAAAATAAGGGTTACAGTTAATATATCGTTTTAAATTTTAGAACAGACTTAACGCATTAATTAATAATTACCGAGAGGTGGAGTGTAGCTGGTATTCACAAAATGAATTGATGACGACTAAATGAATATTTATAATTCTGTACATAAGAGTTTACCTTCTAACGTTATTCATAATTCCACGCATCGCTAATGAATTATAAAGCATATTAAGTAAGAAAAAGTAGCTTCGTTAAACACGAACGAATAGAAATAGAATACCAGGATCCAAAGACAAATAATAATTCTTTACTAGGATTTGTCCGTCAGACAAATCATTTTGCGAAGGTACTGGAACTTTTACAATTTTGAAAGTTTCACTTGGTTCAAAGAGGCCAAAAGGCCTCTTTACAAATAATATTCGAGTATTTTGGAGAGACATTTTTTATGCAATAATACCGATAATGATAACAATAATTACATAGGAGAAAGTTTAAGAAGAGGTAATCATAGCTTACATAGCGTCACCTAGCAAAAATGGTAGCCGGAAATATTTGCCGGTTTCGAAGTAAATCTTAGTAATGATAACTGAATGTTAGACAATCATTTTAGCTCCCGCTATAGTTAAAAAAAGGAAATTTTATGTAATTATCAATGAAAATCATTACGATTATTAATCATTGTTCGTTATCAAGGCACTTTACCTTTCATTCGTCATAGTGTTGGGTTCGGAAGATTGCGACTCTGTCGCTCCAAAATTCTAAACCTCGTGCAACGTACGACAAGTAACCTTTTCGAAAGAGGGTGTTAGATTTGGCTTGTGGGCGAGAAAGGCTTTCGGTTACTTTGG